CCCATCCTTTTAAAATTCTTACATAAAACCACACATCACATACATCTAGAGTACACAAATGCCAGTTTGTGACAACTTTAAGAGGACATTTTTAAAAACATAGGTCACTGCCTACCATCTCAGTTCTAATCAAATTATTACTATCAATGGGCTGGTATCAACTATGATTACTTTTATTAATAAATCTGACCCTGTTCATAATTTTAAGTGAAAGTTGTGTCATATGTTATTTTCTAGTGGCTCATGAGACTAAGTTTTTATATGGTAAAAAGGCTGAAAAAATGGAATGGCAATGCCATCTGAAAAATTCAAGAAACGAAGATTCCTGAGGAAAAAAAAACAGGGTCAGAAAAATATTTTAAGTGAGGAAAGCAGTCAACAGTACTTGCTGTATTTCTTCTGGTCATGTCAAGAAAAACAAATTGAAATTTCAAACAAAACAAAAGACACAACAGCAAAAATCTTTTACTCAATTTACGTTCTAACCACTATAAAATGTATGCAAAAACCTGTATTGGGGAGAGATGCCAGATTGTACATCTACTTTTACTTTGAAAGTTAGTTCACCCACCCATGTAGTGACATATTGGGATCTGTAGGATTATTTTGGGGTAATAAAATCATCAGTAAATTATTGGAAATCCTCCTTTTTTTTTAAATACTGACAGCTGCCTTCTTTTCAGTGATAGTCTAAGTAAATAAAAGTTTGATGAAAAATATTTTAAAAACTTGCTTTGTTTCAACATTCTGGTCTGATGTTCATCAGTAATTAAACTGCAATTAAATACTACAGCCATCGGCTTACATTTAAAACACATGCTGACCCTTGATCAATTCAGGGTAACACAAACATGTGAGTACAGTTTCAATCAGGCCAAGGCTGCATTCACAACAGTAGACTAATAGATCCCTGGATCAAGTATGGCGAAATGAATCAGTGTCATAGTCTCTCCGCCTCTCACACGCCTCCCCATGTGTTGTCCCTGCGGGGGTACAGTCATTAAATTTCGGCTCCATTGGGAGGACACATGGGGAGGCGTGTGAGAGGCGGAGAGACTATTAAAAGATTAGGCGGTTTTTCTTTCATGTACGTCTGCCATATTTAGTCTCCAGGATTTGTAAAGCCTGGCTCAATTCGTTGTGAATGCGGTCTTAGTCCACTGATGTGAATGCAGCCTTAGACACTACACACTCCTTTTATGTGTTAACATATTTCTAGTGGGTGGTATCGAGTTGTTTGTAACAAGCTTTCAAGGGGTTTCCAGTAAAACTTCAACATAAATGTTTAAAACTTACAAGATAAATGGTTAGACAACAAAAGTACAGTTAAAGTGTAAAAACAGCAACCAAGTTGGTGTAAACACATCAAACCGTGGGTTAGAAATCCTCACTCACTACTTTTTTTTCAGTCTTAACTGCGGCTGCATTTAAAATATTTTGTTGTTTTACTTTATTTCATTTTTCATTCCTCAAAATATTTATTTATTACATCAGAAACAGTGGTTAAATTGGGTAATTGAAGAACATCTGCATTCCCATATCCATAGTGGGAAACTCACTGGAACCTAGACAGATAAGTGTTCTTTAGAAAATCTTGAAATTCCAGAGACCTTGATATCCCATCATAGTAATCATTTGTCTGAAAGTTGTGACTGAACTGGAGATGGAGAGTGTCACTGCAAAATCAAAGAATTGTACCAGACGTTTTTATCACACCCAGACTCACTCAAACTGCAGTAAATGTCAACACATATTATTGTCATTTCCAAATCTGAAGATTTCACATTTGAATCAAGGAGACACTTCTTATCTTTTTCTTTTCTCCTTCTTGTGTGCATTTCTTAAAATGAAAAACTTTTTCACTATTGTAGACAAATGTTTTTCTTCCGCAACAAAAATTTTGCATTTTGTGTCCATTCTTTTTCATTTTTCAATAATTTTTTCCCAATCAAGTGAGAGAGAGAGAGAGAGAGAGAGAGAGAGCTAGAATAAAATATTCTCTTATACAAGATTAGTTTTCAAAGTTAAATATAATTACAGTTTTCTCAAAAGTCCAAAGAAAAAAAAAGAATGAATTTCAACAACTTAGAGAAGTACCCCACTAACAGGCAATTGCAACACCCTTCACTACTTTGTACTCTGCTATATAGCGTTCTTTCCACCAATTTGATTTATTTCAGGCATTTGCTTATTCATAGTCTAAGCACTCGAGCAAAAAACTACCACACTTCAAAGGCCGTGCCAATATAGTTACAACACTTTCGAATACTTTGCACACAACTTTTTCTACTGCATCAATACCTAAAAGGTAATGCGTTGTAGTGGCACCTAAGCAACTCTGGGGAATATTTTGTACTTCACTGAAGTAAACAGGGATAAAATGGGCTAAAAAGGTTTAAAGAGCAACTTGAATAACATGTTGCATCTTCTGGCAACTTTTAACTTATGAAATGAACTGAAACACTATGACACAAAAACTCTTCTTTTGATTTAATTTCTGCAAAGTTGCCAACTCTGGTCATGTAGATTTGATGCTTTTCTGGCCAGCAACATTAATCGCTTATTTCCTCATTTCATCATCTTACACGGAATTTCTCATTATGATGGCAGCAAGCTTGTTTTGGCTTTTAAAAAGATCATGTTCTCTGTTCCCTTAGTGCCTTTCCCCAAAAGGAGGTTTTTAAGTTGGCATTCAACAGGTTTCATGTTGGCAGCTAAATAAAAATAGAACTCTTAGCTGGTTTCTGCCAGATTCTGTTGCTGGTTTGGGCTGGGTGAAACTGGTCTGGGCTAATTCTTTCAGATTCCAATTTGCAAAATTTCAGCTGTTGCAATATTGCACATGGATATATCTTATGCTGCATTTTCCAGACTGTAACTTACTAAAGTCGTGTAATATATATCTAATAAATGGGAAATTGTTGCAACACTTACTCAGAGCACACTGTCTGGGCCTCAATCACTACCAATTAGTCACAATGTTGTATTTCTAACAGCTGGAATAGGCATGTAGATTGCAAATAAATAATTTTATAGTATATATCATTTACAGAGGTTCTGTATTAGCTGGTATTAGCCGGTTCCCATGCAACAACTACCTGTTCCACCTGTTTGTGAGCAAACACCAAAACCTTTCTGCACTAAACTCAATTTCCCAATAAATGAGCTTATGGAGAAATGGAGAATTGGCAAGATAATAGCATTCATCATTAACATCATCAGCCCGATCCTCTGCATATCGAAGATTGTCGACACACACAGCATTATTAAGAGTAAATTTGTAAATTTTGAATTACTTCATGATCATAATTCCAGTAACTTTGCAAATTAGCAAATTGAGTAGATTCCTGTTTGGCCTTGAAATTCACCTATCAAAACTATTTTTGTTGGTTGTTAACAACAAGTAGCACCATCTATAATATAAATATAGTTTATGACCTAACCCTTCTCATACTGATGAAGGCAATTTTTTTTTAGATATTTGATATCATGTTGTTGTTACCTAATAGAATTCATTAACATTCATTCTATATACTTAACTAGTAGTTCACTCAATTCTCACCCATCTGAAAATTCATTTAGTGAAAATTGATGCTGGAATCATAATTCAACTTCAATTATCCAAGCAATGCATCTGTCTACTGAGAATTTGCAAGTTGGTTATCATGGACCCCATTCCCATACCTATATCAATCTAATGGGATCGATTTATCTCAGGGGGGTTTCTCGCTAAATTGCATTCAGCTTAAGCGGCTCTGATCTCTGGCAGGGCTTCTGAAGGCTGAAGCTGTTAGGGGGTAGTTAACTTTCATTTGGCAGCTTCAGTAGGCGTGCCAGCCATCTAAGCCGCTTAAGCTGAATGCAGTTTAGTGAGAATCCCCTCAGAGATGGACCGATCCTGCTAGATCGATCTAGGTATGGGAATGAGGTCATACATAACCCAAGGCACTGATGCCACTTATGTATCAACCTACTCCTGCAGACTTTTTGGCAAACCATTTGACATTTACATAACATGGTAGTCAAGGAGGTGTTACAGCATAAAAGGATAAGTAAATATGCTTTACAGACTCTCACCAAAACCAGCTGTACAAAGCACAATAACAATTTACTCATTTATATTTGTTATTATATAATGAACTAGAAGTTTTCTTTTAGAATTCCGACAGAGACCAAAACAGTTAGCCATTCAAGTGAGGGATCCCACATATGACAGAGGAATGGAGTTGGAATCAAGTGTATATTTCTCAAAGTCAAAACAATGAAGATTTAAGTCAAAACAGTTCTAAGTGCTGGTTATGTTTCTTTGCATTTTGTTGTCAAATATTCCACAATAAAACATCCAGGATTTTTCAACATAATGCTATATTCTTAACCATTAAATACTTGGGACTCTGTCTCATTCTGTTTTTGAATATTCTGTGTAGATAACCTTCAAGGTATTCAATATCTCATTTTGTTGTCAAATATTCTACAATAAAACATCCAGGGTTTTTCAACATTATGCTATTCCCCTTAAGAATTAAATACTTGGACTCTGCCTCATTCTGTTTTCAAATATTCTGTGCAGAAAACTTCCAAGGTATTTCAATGTGCCACAAGTATTCAATATTTCATCCAACACATTCAAGGAATGCAAAGCTTTCTACCAAATGTTACAAAACAATCTCAACAAGCACAACAGACTATCTCTAGTTTGGCTCAAAACACAATCACCAAGCGCATCCAACACCCCCAAGCCAAAGGTTTTCCCAGCAAACCATCCAGCCATCGTTTGGACGACTGCCAGCAACAAGAAGGCCTTATTTTCTAAGACAGCTGGACAGCTTACGTCCTCCATCTGGGGTCAGCTTGTATAAGAAGTGGTCTAAAATCAAAGTATAAAGACCACTGTTTAAATGACCCCCCCCCCCCCACAGATAATGAACCCCCCCCCCACACACACACACACACACACACACACACACACACACACACACTGCTTCCAAACACAATCTCACCTAGTACATTCAGCGTCCTCCATCTCGGGTCAGCCTGGGTGAGGAGAGGTCTGAGATCACAGTCTACACTCCACCTCTTCACAATGTCCTCCCTGCGGATCAGCAGCAGGGACTCGCAACATAACTGGGCCAGCACGGTCTCTTCAGGGACTAGCTCTAGAGGGTTGGTTAGATAGATACCTGGAATGTAGGAAATATTCTTAAATTATATTATTTCACATAAATGTAGTATCTTCAGGGACTAGCTCTAGAGGGTTGGTTAGATAGATACCTGGAATGTAGGAAATATTTATAAATTATATTATTTCACATAAATGTAGTATCTTCAGGGACTAGCTCTAGAGGGTTGGTTAGATAGATACCTGGAATGTAGGAAATATTTATAAATTATATTATTTCACATAAATGTAGTATCTTCAGGGACTAGCTCTAGAGGGTTGGTTAGATAGATACCTGGAATGTAGGAAATATTCATAAATTATATTATTTCCCATAAATGTAGTATCTTCAGGGACTAGCTCTAGAGGATTGGTTAGATAGATAATTGGAATGTAGGAAATATTCATAAATTATATTATTTCCCATAAATGTGCTATTCTCAGGGACAAGTTCTGGTTAGAATGACACCTGGAATATATACAATTTTTAAAATAATTTATATAATATTATATCATATAAAAGTATGGTCTCTATATATCAATTTGGAAGACTTTTATCTCTACACCTTGTCAACTATTTGCTAATGCCAGCCATCGATGATAAGGTTGGGTCCCACTCTTTTGGTCCCACTCTTTAGTGATGCCAGGCCCCAGTTTCACAAAAAAATGTCAGGTTCCCTGGCTAAGAACTTGGCCAAGGTTACATGGTCACATCTTACCCTATCGGGAGCAGTGTATTACACTGTAACAGCACTCTCATGGAAATTTTAGTCAACTAAGCAAGGGAACTACTGACTTAAGTTTTTTTCGTGAAACTGGAGCAAGGTATCTGCGACAAGGACCTGTTCACCAGGGGTAGGGAAGAGACAATTCTATACATAAATGTTATAGATGGTTAACTTATTATAACTATACACCCACCTTTTGGTCCCACTCCGTAGACCATCTGGTGATGCCAGGCGTCTGGGATCAGGCTCTGGCCACCAGGGGGCGTGCCACACTGGAGGTTGAGGGTGGCGAGGGGAACAGCACCTGAGACAGCAGTTTCAGCAAAATTAGAGATATTATAGATGCCAGTAGTGCTTTATTATTATCATCATCATCATTATTAAGAGAATAATGATGTAAACAAGACCACTTTGGTCTAAAGCCCCCTTTATACTAGACAGCATTCTTTCTTCATCCTGTAGTATGGCCCTTTTGATAGAAAAAAATTCTTTTGGTGCCGACAACTGGCCGATCATTGAGCATTCATTCTGCAGCCAAAGGGATGCTTGTGCTTCCTTTCTAAGACCACAGCGATGCCAGTTTCATGGTCGCAGAAAGGATGCAGAAAGGACATCGTCCAGTGTAAAGGCCGTTTAAAAAAGGAAGAAATTATAATAATATTACCAGATTGACTTCTCTGGTTTAAAAGTCATATTCTATTGACTTGGTGCTGTTTTGATATAAGATATATTCAAACCATAAAAAATTCCCTTTGATCAACATCAAAGGCTTTACATGGAACTGCTGCCTTTTATCTCATAAAAACATTTCAGTCACTGCTCTGTTCAGTCAAAATGGGACTATATCTCAATACAAAAATAAATTTAGTAAACTGCACATTTGTTAGCTTATGATTGCTTCCTCAAACTAAATACTTGTCAACAGAGACTAAGGTAAGTTGTCAAAACATCTTACACTCCCTCATACACATGCACGCACATGCACATACACAAACACGCACTAACCTTTACAAATCCAGGCACTCAGCCAGTGAAGTAGCTTGATGTCTTGGTGGGGGTGGAATTGGAAGAACCTTCCCTTGACCCGACCCTCTGTAACCTGCTCTATACCTGCTATCAGGTCTTCTGCTGTGGTGCCTGGGATTTAGAAAACATTAAATACATGCTGGGATCAGTTTAACCCATAAAGAAATACATACAAAACCAATGAAAAACAATGGAAATTTATCAAATGTCGGGTAATCTTCAAAATCTACACTGACCAAGTCTACAAAAAATAGATGCTGGGATCATTTTAACATAAATAGAAATACTTACAATACTTATTTCCAATTCCTTATAAAATATTTAAATTCCAAAACATAGTAAATTTGCAATCACTTTATCAAACACTCTGTGCAAAAGTCCATAGCTTTTAAATCAGAAATGCAATCATATGAGTTATCTATATTACTTTAAAAATAGAAAGGTCACATATTAATACCTGCCACACTCCTGGAGAGAAGATAATCAGCAACTGGAGCCGTCTCTGCCCTCAGCCGAGCCCTGATCCGACTGCTCACCATCTCCTGGTCCATCTCTACCTTTAACGCTTGCTATAAAATATATGAACATGCATGTCACGTACAAGACTACTTTATACTCATTAGACCCCATTCCCATACCTAGATCCATCTAGAAGGATCAACCCAACTCCAGGGGGATTCTCGCTAAATTGCGTTCAGTTTACGTAGTCACACAATCACTTCCACCCCCCCCTCCCCTAATTCCAGTTTCCTTTTGGTGAAAAGATTCAGCAGATGGATTCAATAATCGTATCATCCTACGAGAATTTATTCTCTACTTTATACATAACACAAATCATTTATTTTCTGAAAAAGTAGCATTCATTTGACTCAATGCATCTTTACCTTAATTATCAAAATAGTGGATTTAAAAGGTTTATCAATGACTCCAGTACTTCATCTCATCTTACCAGGACATTAATAACAGCAGTTGGTCCACAAGCCGAGGTTCCAATCTGTTTTACTTGTAGAGACAACGCTTCGTACTCTTTCCATATCATTGTTTTCTTCACTTTGGGGTCCTGTTGCTTCTCCTTGAAAATGACAATAGTTATACAGTAAATGTCATTACATTTATTATACAAAATTTTATAGGAAATTAGTCCATCAGGACACACGAGTCTAGGAATCTACTGACCCTGTGCAAAAATAGTGACCAATTTATATTGCAGTTAAAATAAACACCCTTGGACAAGAAATGGATGTCATTACATAACCAACCAGTATTTATACTTCAAAACATATAAACAACTCAGAAAACATGTATGTGATATACGTGAATAGGGCAAAGCATGCCTGTATGTCACATGCACCTTGCGTGTTGTATCTGCCATATGTGACACTCATATGTGACATGCACGTATGCAACATACACCATATCTAGAACTTTTGTTCTCAACAACCGCCATGGTGTAAATATAGACACTGTAATGTTTGTTTATATTTCACCTATGTTCATCATGTACATACAATCATAGTTTATGGCATTTACAGTAACTGTGAACAGAGCAACAGAGCTGGGTGAAAAACCAATACAACTGATCAAATTGGGGACAGATCAAGAAAAAAAAAAACAGTAGTGGTAATTGTGCATGCGACAAATAAATATGAGTGCAGTTGCCACAGGAGCAATAACTGAACATCATTCACTGGCTACATGTGCTGTTTTTATAGACCTTGTCTATACTGGTGTAATAAATGAAACAAAGACTGCATAATATCCTCCAATTATTGTCATACATGTTTCAAATTGCCAAATGAGTTCATTTTCATCACCAGTTGAATTAGAGAAGCACAAAATGAAGTCCGACCTATATGTTACATTAAGCCACAAAAGGCAGGCCTGTAGCCAGCAATTTCTAAGTAAGTGTTCAAGAGAAAGTTTTAATTCACAGAGGACTTTTTTATCAGCCAAATAGGCAGTTCTTTTTCTAACCCCCGAAACCCTTCACCTCTCTAAAGGCCTGTAAGGTATCATACATACATACATAATAATATATATATATGATCTTTGAATCTCCCTCCATCACTGACATAAGTATAACATCAGGCCCGTAGACAGCGGGGGTTCGGGGTGTTCGAAAGGACCGCCCCTTTTGCTGGGAAAAGGTCCACTCTAGGTAAACTTTGATCTAGGTACATGAAGTTTTTATGGGAAAAGGTCCACTTTATCATAAAAAGAACCCCCCTTTTGAAATTGCTGGCTACGGGCCTGAACATCTACATCAATATTACTACATACCTTCATGGCAAACAAAAGCTTACTGTACCTGTATCATGTGATTCTGCTGCTGCTTCTGTTGCTCCGACTGCTGACTGTGACCCAGATTGCCACCAATGCCCTCATCATCAATATTGTCACTGGAATAATACATAGAACTCTGTGTTGGAAATATGGACATCAAAATTTCATGTAAACACAGGCATGTGTACGTTTATACTTAGCTCGTCACGAAGACAAGATGGCACACAAAAAATGATGTTCAGCAGAAAATCATTTTGCTGCTGGTTTGTTGATGGTTTTAAATACAGAAAAGAAAAATGTAAAAAAAAATCTAAAATTATAATAGCAATAATCAGGAAACAGCAGCCATTATTTCCACTGAAGAGTAAATATGCTATACCATTAACACAGTCTTTTAAATATTTCTCAAGCAACAGGTTTTTGTAAAAATTAGAAACTCATGATAGACCTCTAGCCATTAAATAGTCATTTGGAATTCAGAAGGTAAATCTCCACTGTTTATATTAGTTGGTGTAAGGGCATAAGAAAAGGCTGTCTACTAAAGAACTACTTCTTGTATAAGAAAATTTAAAAGTTTAATGAATACTGTTGACCACTTTATATTTACTTGCTTATACGCTGAGAAAAAAAATGAAAAAAAAAAAAACACTAATAATTCTCACATCTAAATACTGATGAACTATGTCATCATTAGTGTTATCATTTATTAACCACATCATTTCACTTCATTATAGTTCAGCCATAATGTTGGCCAGAGAATGTTCATCATAATAAAGTACACTGCACATCATTGTGTATCATAGACCCCATTTCCATAGATTAGATCGACCTACTTTAGATCGACCTAACTCCCTGGGGGTTCACGCTAAATAGCTGTCAGCCGAGCGGACACGAAAGTTAATTACCCCCTTACAGCTTGTAGTAGGCGGGACGGACATTTAAGCCGGATTATCTGACAGTAATCTAGTGAGACTCCCCGCGGGGATAGATTATTAGATCGATTTAAAAGCTCTGGGAATACAGCCATAGACATTAGGGTGCACCTATGACTTTGAATTATATTCCAAAGCTGTGGACACAAGTGCTTCACAAGTAATACTATTCCACACATAAAAAAAAATTGATAGCTATTCTGGACTCCATTATGATGATGTATGTTCTCCAATGCCGGTGTTTCTAATATTTAGTTAGATCTTTTTTACAGGTTTTTACATGTCATAAATTCTTTATTATAGAATAATTTCCTATTTTCAAAGCTGTTTAGAAGTAGTTTAAACTCATAATAACACAAGACACATTGGAACAAGGAACAAGAATTCATTCCTATTTCACTGCTATTCAATGACTTTTTTCAAAAATCTAACTTTTCATTAAAAAAAAAAAAAACATACAGCAAGTAATTTGTTCTATTGAGGTATTAATAACAGAATAATGTCCAAGAAATAAAATTGATCAATTCTGTTCAAATGCCACTTATTATCCCACTTTTACTCCATTGCCACACCCTTATATCTATAGCACCTTACCTTGCTCCCACATATAGATCTTCCTCTTCCTCCTCCTCATCATCAGTATCAGGCAGAGGATGCAACAACTCCTGGCGCTCTAAGAAACCCAGCAACTGAATCTCATCGCCCCCAAGGTCACCCTGGTCAAAGTTCACATTGTGCAGCTGCCTTGCCGTCTGCTCAGCCCAGCCTGCTGGTGCTGCCAGCTGTTCCTCGTCGCTGTCTCCATCCCTCTCCTTGCGACACGTTTGCTCGCTTTCCTCCAGGTCCTGGGGGATCTCAAACTGAAAGCTGTTCTCGTCATTGTCAAAGTTCGACGTCGATGTCTGCCTCGACACATTGGACTGCTCAAAGCTGTGACTCGAGGAGAACTCCTCGAACCTGAAATCTAAATTGTTAAAACTGACAGCAGGATCGAGCTGCAGCACATCCTGGATGTCATGTTCTCTGGAAACAAAGTCTATGTTACCCCTTACCCTGGAGCAATGACCCCCACCAAGGTCATCCACCTCCCCATGACCTCCATCTGACCCTGACATTGTCCACTCAAGGTCAAAGTCAAGAAAGTCTGTATCTGGGCTGTAAAAGGGGGAGGACTGGTAGCTTTCTGAGTTCGAGGAAGCCTGTGCCTCGTGTGCATCGTTTAAATTGTTTTGGTGCTGCTCCTTGTAGAAATTGTTTTTCCTTTTGTTAGCTATACTGCTGGGAATCTTTGGCATGGGGCTATTGCACATGCAGGAGTGCACACAGCCAGCAGGGCAAGGGAAGGCACGAGGCCTGGCACTAGCACTGGTACCACTACTACTGCTACCACTATTTACAATATTGCAAGACAATTGCTGGGAGTCACTAGGGACAGTGGCACCAGCACCACCCACCATTAGCTCTCCGTGTTGATGTCTAGTCCGAGGTAAACCTTCATCTTCAGAACTACACGATGCTGCATCATCGTCTCCTAGACCAATATCACCGTTCCTGAAAGACAGCGGCAGATTGAGTGGCTGCTGAGGAAACCCCTCATCAGAAGAGGAATCGTCATTCAAGCCAGACTGGTCTACTGAAAGGGAGTATGCAGTCCTGTAACTAGCCGAATTCACCAATCCGTTACACACTTGACTAGAAATGTCTGTGTCAATAAAATCCAGCACATCATTTTCCAGGTTCTGAGCAGTGCTACTGGTATTACTTGGTTCCCCTGCACTGCCACCAGAATCACCACCATTACTACAGTGAACACTTGTTCTGGTGCTACTGACACTGGTGGCTTGTTTGTCAGGTGGGTCTAAACCATTAGCATTACACACATGGCACTGTGCATTGCCATGTGTCACCTGCACACCTTGAATACCACACCTGTCACAGCCATGTGCATCCCTTGGTGACACGCTAGCACCTGTTGTACCTGTCACTTGTTCCCTCTTAGTGTAACTGCCATGGTCTGTAGGACCATTCAAGGTGGCATACAGAGTTCCAGATCCTCTACTCCGTAAATTGCTCTCTTTATCCGACCAGCTACCATGGAAGTCATGGTCTGAAGGATGCCCAGTTTTATGACTACGAGATGCAGTTTCCTGTGAAGTCAGTACAGATCTGTGGTTATTTTCATCTGAAGTGGGTATTTCCCCATGTCCTATGTGCGTAAACATATGAGTAGTTGTTAAATCAGTATTCATATTATCATTATCTGACCCGTCAGTCGAAGGCCTCACCACAGTCTGTGTCACACTTGTATTTTTTCTACCTTTAAAAATTTGGCCACCTTTTGAAGAATTTGACTTGCATTTTGTATCTTCTGAATTCACAGTATTAACAGGTATGTTCGCAACATTTGAGTTTCGTTCCAATTCTTCCTCACCACCATCTATGGCACAGCTGTGTCTTTCAGAACCAAGGCTTTGCATCGAGGTTTCTCCACCATTAACAGTTGCAAAAGAGGATTTTGGCATTATAGGTTTATCCGACTGGCCTTCACCTTGACCTGTATTAGAGTGACCTACATCCAGGTCAATATCCCCCTGCCCAGTCACTTGACCAAAAGAATGAGATATCACCTGGATGTTATTCCTTCTCACTGAGGTCTCTGTACCACTGGGTCCTTCCTGTACACGTAAATGTTCTAACAAGTGTAAGTTTGATCTAAAATAGTTCTCCATATCATCCCCAGGTGTCTCCACATTCACTCCAAGAGAATCCTCCTGACTTACTTCCCCATTTAGCGCGTATGTTCCATGTACAGCACTGGGGTCAACATCACTGCTGAAGTAATCCCAGTCCACAGCACCAAGGTCGCCAAAGGCACTTGAATGTCTGGGCTCCGACTGAGCCACTGGTCCAAACTGGGAGCAATGAGTCAATGTGGCGGGTGTCCCAGCCTTCCTCCCGCCTGGCTCCAGTGTCTGCTGGTCTCTGCTTAGGCTGCTGGTTCTAGACTGTGACATGGCCAGTCCTCCTTCCATTACATGGAGACATTAGTTTAGGGACCTGGAAGTAGGTTATGAAGAATATCAATTTTCATTTGTAATTAATAAACCTCTTTAGGCCAACCTCACATCTGTTATTTGGTCCACTGTGTTTGCATATCTGTAGGATCAGCTGCACCCAGTAAGAAGCCATCAAAATATATCTGAAACTCAAGTTTTGTTACTTAGCTGACAGGTTTTCTCAATTACGTGTAATGCATGATGTTTTTACTATCAACCTTCACAATTTATACAGCGGAATTCCCCTTCTTTAATTTCTGTCCAAAAAAACCCTCAAAACACCAATACCATGTTTTTTCATATTATTATATTGTGTTTGCTGAGGTTCAAAAAGGTTTTCCTGGTCAATTTTTGTTCAAAACTCTGCCTTCCTGATGTGAGCCCTCATTTCTCTTCTCCAACCCCTTACCCTCGTATAATCATCTTTGCAATAATAAAATTGGCCTAGTTCTTGAAACGCTGAATCAAGCGACGTATAAATGGAAGCCTTAACAAATTTTTTAATTAAATGACAAAATTATACATCGCCACAATTATTTGTTTATCCACTTTGTTTAACATCTTACTAGAAACGCCACAGTTTACCTGAAATTAGCTGTTTTCATGCAGTGATATGGAAAGTCTTTCCCTTGAACTTCCATATTGGATTTTACCCATAATGCAGTCGAGAGATTATCTAGCCAATTAAACAAAGCGTTAAATTTTGGCTACGGGAAAAAACGCATGCTCTGATTGGCGATGGGTATATGATAACTGGCTGGACGGACGGAGAAGTGTTTTCGATAAATTTCTGAAATAACTACAATCACGATGAGCGAAGAACAAGAACCAGAAATATGTATAAACCTTGTTGTTATGGGAATCGTGAAGGTGAGAGTTTTAGCAATCAACATTATTCAACATCTAGTGTCACATTTTACTTAGTAGTTGAGTCTGTTTTTTATGTAGTGTAGTGGTAAAATATAGGCCACATGTTTTATGAAATAAAACATAGTGTTTTCCTCCACTGTAACGTTCTTTTTTTCATTTTTAAGTGATTTCACCTCTTTTATTACTGTCAACACAGTGTAAGAGTATCGGTATTACCTCCTTACTTTCTCTTTGTCACGTGATAAGAAAGAATAAAAGGAAAATGATGCAAAATGACCCGTTTATTTATTTTATTATTTTTTTTGTTTGTGGTTTGTAACTTGAAATAATGTGTTCTGATACTAATCTTATAATCAGGCTATTGGTCACCAGTGGACTCAGGTGAATATGGACAGTGATGCTAGAATCATTGACTTTGTGTTGCTGGACAATGTTGCACATAACAACTTGAGTCAAAAGTTAACCACTCTCAATTTGATAAATTTAAAGGATATTTTGCCTTTTTGATTTTGATAATACTTTGGTAGTCTATTCATAAGTCTCAGAAATCAGTTGTGATAATTAAACACATTCTTTAAGCAGGCAACTATTTGACTAAAATAGCATGTCAGGTGGACTCTCCCCTCCTCCCCCCTCCTCCCTCTCCCATGAAACAAGTTTTTGAAAAATTCTCTGATAAGATTCATTTTTAAGGATTTTAAGTAAATTTGGTATAGTTTTGGTTTTATGCATCTAGCCACAGTACATGACATAGTTTCTTTCTCATGCTAGGTTTAAGCACATAAAAAATACAATTTGCTATATTTTCCTTTCAGTTTTGATGATGATGTAGCAGCTACTACTTAGAGGGACTCCTTTTCTGGCACTGACTGGACATCTCTAACAGAATGCAATACTATATAATATGGCAATAAAAGTCATCAGCTTCTTCAACATCCGGACACTGGTTTGTCTGCTGGTGGTAAGCAGCTGCCTGGGTCCTGTGTATCCTGGCAGTAGTAGCAGTAATACGACTACTTCAGAATACATACAGTTACCTAGGCGAGGCGGAGTGATGAGGAATGACTGCTACAATAAGACAGACCTTCCTACTGAACGGGTTGTGGTGGACTTTTCCAGCAGAGTGGTTGAGAATGGTAAGGGATTTGGTTGTCAGGGTGGTTGAGAATGGTAAGGGTTTCAGTTGTCACTGGTTGATTTGGTAAGGGTTATCTTCATCATGGTAGTTGAGAATGATAAGGGTTTTACCTGTTAAATTCATTATTTAAGGTATGTTTTTTAACTGTTACAAAATTATTATTCTTTGACAAAAGGGATTGTGCATGTCCATGGGTCCGCCACATATGCCCTGTATTCACTATTTAAAGTTTAGATAATTGGCTTTAGTCTTAAAGTTTATATTGAAAATATTTCATAAACAAATTATCTTTATGTTTTATGTAATTGAATTTGGAGTTGGATTTTGTGATTTAAATTATAGTAGTGCCAATGCCCCCCCTCACTCTCACACACACACACACACACACACACACACACACACACACACCAAGCAATTCTTTTTCCATCTTTGATATAATCTTAGTATTAGTTTTGATGTTAGGATAAAATGAGCAGAACGAGTAGAGAGCGGCTTTAAAAATTATTTATTTAATACTTTTAATTTTTTTCCAGAATACATCATCACCTTCACGGGTTACTTCAGTGCCCGTGCCAGGCACAGTTTCATCACGTCAGCCCTCCATGGGTCTGGGGTGAAGAACTGGGGTCTAGTGCCGCGGCTCAACCCTGCCAAGAATTACCCCAGTGATTTTGAAGTGGTCAAGGTAGGTTGTCATAGTGCTGTGTGTCAGGTATAAAAGAGTAGTGTTGTTGTTTTATAATAATAATTTTAATTTGAGCACAGAAATGTTTTTACATGTAAAGGATCTTTAACTACTGTGTGTGTGTGTGTGTGTGTGTGTGTGTGTGTGTGCTCTTGTGCACGCATTCTAACCGAGGACACACACCCGCCCGAAACCCACTAACCGAGGACACACNTGTGTGTGTGTGTGTGTGTGTGTTAATGATAGTAAAGTAATAAAAAAATAAATAAAGTGTTATACAATATACAGATAAAGAGATACAAGTAAAATGTATAAAATCCCTTATGTATTTGATACTAATCATTTGCATTTTTATCATTACCTTACTTAGGTAAGACAGTGTGTAAATTGTTACTAGTATTATTATCATATTATAGTTATACATCTGTGCGCAATGCTGCATGTGGGCAGTACACTGGCACATGTACAGTGCACATAAGCTCATTCAGAAAGTATGCTGGCTTCTCATTCAATTTTTACAAGAAAAGAGCAATACTGCTGATGAATCCACCCATTCTATGCACATTATGTGGGCTTGATTAATGGTAGCCAAAACCTTTGACTAGGTGGTTAATTATTGACCGATTGACAGCGAGTTGATGACTTCATTTTAATCAAATGGAGAAGCAAAAGATGCCATTCACATATGCATTTATTTAGGTTATTCATTTTGACTGATGAGACATTCTATAATTTTTTGAAAGATGGAAGGAATGGCTATTTGGCATTTTAAATTGTGAGAAAAATGAAAATGAACAAGGGTCGCATATGTATTTTAGTTACAAGAGAAGTCAGACGAGGGTCTGGAGGCACTGGAAAGTCATCCCAATGTGAAAAGAGTGGCCACACATAAAAAGTTAACGAGGACATTGAAATATTTAAAAGGTATTTTTAGAGATTAAGGGGAAAATAATTGTATCCAGCTTTTTTATTTATTTATTTATTTATTTATTTATTTATTTATTTATTTATTTATTTATTTATTATATTTTTGACAGCAGTTTAGTCTTAAATTTTTAATGTGAATAGAAAACCATTTTTAAAGTGACATAGTGGTGCTGGTTACAGAAATGTACAGGCTGAAAAATATAAACCTTTTTTTTCTTTCATTCATTGTGAATTTAATGGTAATGCTTTTATCTATGCTTTAGAGATACACCCTGCTCTCAACCAAATACAATAGCACTATTATTCTCACTGCGTTGTCATTGTTGTATAATAACAGTTAATGTTTTCCAGTGAAACCCAAGGCTAGTAGTAGCACAGTGCTGAACTCTCCATGTGTGAAGACAAAATCTACCAGCCCAGATAGCTGGGAGCAATCTTTTCACTCTTCAAGACCCATCAATAGAAAGAGCTTGTCTCTGGTTGGTATTTCTTGAAGGGCAGTGATCCCTTACATATTTAAAAAAAATTCACAGATTCCAATTTTTTTAAAAATCCTTTCAAGATTCATATTTTTTTTCTTCTTACAAAGTCATCTCCTCAAGTAAACATAAATCATTTTTGAAAATTCTGGAAATTATGTATTGCAGCTGTGAAAAATGGATTATTTTGATAATAATAAATTTAATAAATTTATCAGATTTCTTTCAATTTAGTAAGTGTTAACAGTTCATCTTGAGCTGTGTACAAGCTTTGATGAGTAATTTGCTAAGGAAAGAAATAACACGTTAAACACGTTTTGTTTCTAGGCAGGTGCATTCTGGCATTCCCCTGTCAGACACAGAAGTCGTAATCTTCTTCGTGCAATACCCAGACAGGTGGGGTTTTTTTGTATTTATTTGTTTTTCTAAGTTATTACATAGTTTTTCGTCTTATATTGCGTATCTGTGACTTATGGTGAGTGAAAATGGGTATTTCTTGGAGATATGTGTTTATGCTTTATACAGAATGAGAGATAATTTTAAATCCTCAATTTTAACTGTTAGTATTTTCATTTCTTCTCAGATCTCCAGTGCACTGCAGGCAGAAATACTGTGGAGTATGGGCTATACAGGTATATAGAAGTCCCAATTGGTATCTAATCCCATTTAATTTTACAAATAAAAATGATTTTCATTTAACTCTTACTTTATCAATACAAGTAATTATATAGAAGATAATGTATATGAGTTAATAATAATAATAATAAAACACTTCTTTAAAACCGCGCTACACATGCGTCTCAGCGCTGTTTACATAAAAAATATAAACTCCACAGATAAATTAAAGCCAGTATAGACTAAGAACAGGATACTTAAAAATTTTTAAAAAAACTAAAAAGATGCTATAAATTAAAGTATTCTTTAAATAAAAAAGTTTTTAAATTCTTCTTAAAACAGTAATATGAGTCATCCAGAGACACATTAGATCTTGTGATAAAATAAGACCATAAAATCGGTGCACAAATCTCGAAACTTCTGTGTCCATATGTCTTAAGAGTCTTTTTAGTGTCTTTTCGCTTAAGTTGAAGTTGTCCACTAGATCGAAGTGATCTGATAGGTGTTAAAAGTTCTTTGGTAGAGTTTAAGTAAAATGTTCTTTATTTACTGTCATAATTTGATTTTTTCAAGCCAACAACCCAGATAATTATGTTAAAGAAAATTGTTCATGTTGTTTTTTAGGTGCTAATGTGAAAGTGGCCATATTTGACACTGGGTTGGCAGAGGACCACCCGCACTTCAAGAGGGGGCGTATCAAAGACCGCACCAACTGGACACATGAGAAAACACTCGAAGATGGTAAGGAGCAGCTTAAATGAGTTTGATGGTTTTATCCTGTAATATTTTTTCTTATTATATTGTGTTCAATACTGAATCTTTTCTCCATAAATTTTGGTTTAAAATTTTTGTTAAGTGTTATTCAGTATTACAGGAATTGTTGTACTGTTAGTAACATCTTTAAGCAACATTTATTATTTTATTCTTTGTAAAACGGGCAAGATTTAAGTCTAGGTTCATTACAAATGATTTACTTCTTTGCTTTTCTTTGCAAGATGTTTATGATCAATATATTAGATGCCAAATATATATATATATATATATATATATATATATATATATATATATATATATATATATATATATATATATATATATATATATATCATAAACCATTTATTGATATCTTTAAAAATGATGTAAAATTAAATAACTCGTGTTTATCCCAAGGTTTGTCCCTTTTTAGCTACAGTAGCATTATGTGTCACAACAACTTCTAATGAGCTTTGAACAGGTGTTTCCCCAGAATTTGCTGTACAGGGAGTTCACAATGTTGATGTGTAATTTAATCACCGATTTACAGGAAGTCCAGCTACATTCCCCTAGAAATTTCATAAGTGATTCAGCCCTCTTTTTGAGGCCAGTGGTCGTCGAAATGATGGTTGGGTGGCTCTCTGGAAAAAACCTTGGCTTGAAATATATCCAGATGATTCTTTCTCATTTCAGGCCTTGGTCATGGTACTTTTGTGGCAGGTGTGATCTCCAGCAACAAGGACTGTCTTGGCTTTGCACCTGATGCTGACATCTATGTTTTCAGAGTGTTTACCAACAACCAGGTCAGTGACAAGCTGCACTCGGCTGTGTTATCAGTGTTTGCTGTGCTCTTAGCAAGATTTAATAAATTGCACAAATTTCTTTCTTGCAATGGTTATATCTCCTTCTACAATTTTTTCAGTGTAATCATGTGTACTGCTTCCATTAGACTTAGCTTATATATCTTGGCACGATACTTGTTCAGTTCTTGACAGTGAGTGATATATTTCCTTAAAGGTACAAATGAACCAAGCATTGATGGAGCGTGGATTCTTAGTAACGCATTTAAACCACTTCTACTTGTTTCTTATACGTCTAAAATAAAGTCGACATGCCAAGGGATAAAGCGAATTGATCACTCCTTTTGCCATAAAAGAGCTAATAAATTCTTTAAATTTTTGGTCGTAAATTCGACCTACTGATCTGACCTACTTAGCTGTTCCAGTTATATACATCTTAGCAAGCAAGCAAAATACCTTTCAAATATCCTTTTCAGGTGCTATGAAACGACGTCTTTCGGTATTTCTCTAACTTATACTTTATGAAACTATGTGGTGACATTTGGTAGCCTTTTATAGTAAAAAATTGAGCTCATATGCATCTTTAATTGATTGATTTACCAGAAATATTAAATTATGTCTTGGTTTTTGAAGTACAGTGAGTGAGTACAGTGAGTACAGAACAGTGAGAACATTGTGGTGGTCATATGACATCTATTCTGAAAGTTGATTGCTGCCTTTTTCTGTGATTATGTATTATTCATGGTATGAAAAAAACTGTGCTATGTCAGTGCATTTTTGATTTGTTCTTTGGATAGACATAGTAATTTGAGAGGCACCATTACACAAGGAGGGGGGGGGGCATTCATTGAATCATTGTTTTGATTTGATTCGCGAAAAGAGTTCATCATTTTTTTAATAACAGACTTGATTTTTTTTCCAGGTTTCTTATACCTCCTGGTTCTTGGATGCCTTCAACTACGCAATACTAAAGAAAATTAATGTGTTGAATTTGAGCATTGGAGGTCCTGACTTCATGGACCACCCTTTTGTGGATAAGGTATTGGTTTTAACCTCTAGATTTATGCAAAAAAAATTATATAGTAATCACAAAAATATCATTGAGTTTTGTTTTTCATCATTCTAAATAAAGAACAAAAATAACTTTACTTTTAATCTTATAATGATTCACTATGTTCAGTACCTGGATTTGTGTATAAATGTGTGATGCTTGTAGAATCATCGAAAAATTAAAACAATCTGTATTGTCAAGTGATTAGTGTAATACCTGTTTTTATTGTAGGTATGGGAGCTGACAGCTAACAAAGTCATCATGGTGTCAGCAATAGGAAATGATGGTCCACTCTATGGGTATGTTAATGTTGCCTTTCTTTACAGACGCCATCATTTTCTTCATCAATAATCAATATAAGCACTAAAATTATAGGTTTTAACATCTCTGAATTCCTTCATCAAATTTATAATTTATTAGTACAATGATCTATTAAATTATAAATTCATTGGTACCTTGATCAATCAAATTTATAATTTATTAGTAAAATGATAGATACTTTTCTCTTCAAATTCATTTGCATATAGTAGATAGTTTTCTCTTCTAACAATTTATGTTTTGTTTATGCATTTAAAGTCAATTCTGTCTTAAACCCTGTGCTAGTTTTCTCATAATTTCAACATTCATGATAAAAGTTGCATCAGCTTTTTATCAGCAGACACATCTTTTTATCATATAATGTTTCTTCTGGTCAAAATAAAACCCTGTCTGTATTTCAGCACCCTGAACAACCCTGCTGACCAGATGGACGTCATTGGTGTTGGCGGGATCAACTTTGACAATCAGATAGCGCGCTTCTCCTCCAGGGGAATGACCACTTGGGTATGTGACGGCAGTGCAATGATTCAGTGCCTAATTGTATTCATCTTTGACTTCAGGCTTTTTCTGTTTCTCTGGAGATTCCACAGCAGAAAGTGTGCATCAGCTACAGTCTTGGGTTTCGTGGTTAATATGGGCTTAATTGTTAAAAAATCTGCCAGTAGCATTAGTAAATGGCTAATCAATTTATAAGGCCTGTGCACTGGTTCGTGTTTTACTGAAAACACAAATGGATTACGTTATACTGGGTTATAATACATGATATTATTTTGAGCACCAGATTATGTGCTTCTTCAGAAATAATAAGAGGGGTACATAGGAATATTATACTGTTTAACTTCTTTGGAGGTTTCGGCAAAATGGTTTGTAAGAACAAGACCAAGTTCATTATTGGCAGTCCCTATTTCACCTTAGAGCACAAGAATAAATTTTTCATCAGGTTAAAAAAAGATGTTATTTCAGAGGGAGGAATTTCAAGGTGGTTACCTAGTGAAATACTTTGGAATGATCATCTTAAATGTACTTGTCTGTAATTGTGTCATGTTTACTTCAGGAGCTGCCCTTTGGCTATGGTAGAATGAAGCCAGATATAGTGACTTACGGATCCCAAGTCAGAGGCTCTGCCATGAGGTGAGAGTTCAGTGAAAATTTGACAAAATTAGACACAATCACCAACCGTTTTTGTAAAAATATAATGTTCAATTTTAAGATTGCAGATTAGGTGAAGCTTGAAATGACATCATAAATCTTTTGCCTTCTTTTAATCTGATCTCAAACTGTGACTTGCATGTATAGATGAAGCTCGGCATTTAACATTCAGTGTGGGATATATTTCAAAAAATATATTCCTGTTGTTAAAATTGCAGGGGAGGCTGCCGTTCTCTGTCAGGCACCAGTGTAGCATCACCTGTGGTAGCGGGTGCTGTCACCTTACTCTACAGGTAAGTTGAGTCTGTCTAGCTCCTGTATAGCTTTACAGTTAAGTTGCCTCTGTCTAGCTCTTGTATAGCTTTACAGTTAAGTTGCCTCTGTCTAGCTCCCGTATAGCTTTCATACTGGTAGACAGGTAAGCTTTCTCTTTGTCTCTCTTACCAGTAAATAATTCATTTGGTGTAGTTGAGAGTGTCACTGTACAGGTATATTACTCCCTCATGATGATGGAATCACCTGTAATATTTATGGGTTGAACCTAACAAGTGATTGAAATCGGGTGTCATCTCCAGTCTTTAAGATGGCTGTTGTGCATTTGGATACTTGATTATTCCTATACTACTTCTGTTGTACATGTCTGGCAAAATGTTGACCAAGTTGACTATTTCCATACAGTTGTACTGAAATCTGGAGGGGGGCAAACAGGTGGACACTGACCAGCAGTTAGAAAATAATGTCTGGACTGATAGACGTAATGCCAGACTTAACTGTAAATTCAGTATATGGCTCTTAGAATTGTTGCAGGTCCCTTGGACTTGACTGAACACAGCTTTTTTTATTGGGCCTTGAAAATTTAATTGGTCATGAACAATAGAACCAACAGTTTTAACATGTCTATCAAATATGAAATGGCAGTGAAAGCCAGTTGGCCCCATTGTATATTCTATGTATCACACATGAGCTTTTTCCGCAGAAAAGCAGAATTCTGATGGTTCCTGAGATTCATCAGGGTTAGGTGTTGGGTCCCATGATAAATGTTCAGAGTTTTTTTTTTTTTTTTTTTTTTAACGTGGGCTCATGTCTGATGTATATATTTCCAGTGCTGTTCTGAACCGGGCCCATGTTGTGAACCCAGCCAGCATGAAGCAGGCCTTGATGGCCTCGGCAAAACGACTGCCAGGATCGAACATGTTTGAACAGGGCCACGGCAAACTGGATTTGGTGAAGGCGTATCAGGTGCTGCGGAGCTACAAACCTCAGGCCAGTCTGAGTCCAAGCTATGTTGACCTGACCGAGTGTCCATACATGTGGCCGTACTGTACCCAGCCTATGTACTATGGTGCCATGCCTGTCATTGTGAATGTAAGGCTTTTTTGCCTTTTTTATATTATTTTTATTTTATTTTTTTAAAACTTTTTTATTTATTTATTTATGTATTTATTTTTTTGTCTTGAATTGTGGGTGTATTTTTTGAAAATCAGATTGATAAGTGTATCAATTGAGAGGTTGCAGAACAAAACACAGGGATAGCAATGTCAGTGTTTTGATTTGTTTTGTTTTTTATCAGGGCAATTTGTCAAATTTTACAATAATTGCACAATTTTCAATTGGCCTGTCAACAAAGTATGTTTAAGAGATGTGCAAATTTTAAACTCGTTTTCTTGATGCCTAAGTAAAGGTTTGCGTTTATATAAACACTGGTTAAATTATTATAATTACTCTATTTTGCAGGTTACAATTCTAAATGGGATGGGAGTCTCCGGTAAAATTCTTGAAAAGGTGAGCAAAACGATTTTGTTTGTTGGATATTTGTTATTTTAACCAAATAGTTTGTTTAATAAAATTAGCCTCTGGATCAAAAAGGCAAATTATGATCCACTTTCAGAATTTTGAAAATGTGTAGACCTAACAGTTGACTAGGTTCTTTTTGAAAGTAATGATACATTGTGATCCCAGATTAAGTATTTATTGAGTTGCGTTTTACATTCCAGCCACTATGGCAGCCCTACACTCCTCAGTTTGGGAACTACATAGAAGTAGCCTTCTCCTACCCCACTGAACTGTGGCCCTGGTCAGGCTATCTAGCTGTGTCCATCTCTGTGTCCAAGGGGGCAGCCAACTGGGACGGCATTGCACAGGGTCTGGTCACTCTCACTGTGACTTCACCACCAGAGGTCAGTATATGGCTCAAATCATAGCTTATCTTTTTTTTTTTTTTAATATGTTTTCAGAAGAACAAAGTTATTAAGGGATTTTCTGGTTTCGATTATGTACTTTTAAGGTGTGAGAGATTTTCATGGATGTTGTGCAAAATGTTTGGAAACCAGAGGAGTTTAAATTGGTGATGGTTATGAAAGAAGAGAACTTCTATATTTACTAGCATTTCTTGTTGTCATCCTTTTTGATAGCTAAGGGCTATTTTTGATGCATAGTATTGGGGAGCAATAGATTATTCTTTTCTTAGTAAATAATATGAAACCAGGATTCTCCCACTTCCAATGTTAGATTTTTTTTTCACTTTCTAAAATGCTGTTGTGCTAGACCAGCACAATTCTGCCACTCTGTCAATACATTGTTCTCATACATTAGTGAAGTCTCACATAAGTTGAGAAAAAATGTATTTCAGGATGGAGAGAAGAGTGCAAGAACATCCACAATAAAGCTACCCATCAAGGCCAAGATCATTCCGACTCCACCTAGGAGGTGAGACTTGTAGCTAGGCTTTATGTATTTATTCTGTACAGCCACTGATTTATATACTAAAGTAATGTTATGGATCAATCCTCAGTTTATAACATTTGGACTGGCTTTCCTTTCTCCAAGTAATGCACAAGTTGCTATTCCATGTTATAAAAGGAACTGGGGTCGTGTATACTGACTTGGCTAACCTGATGTATTATAACTGAAAACATTCATCAATTAAGTTGTTTAAAAATGTTCATTATCTACCTGTCCCAAGTCCAAAATAATCTGTAAAAAGACGTGTTGTTCGTACTGTATTTTATGATGGTTGTTCCAGCAAACGAGTTCTGTGGGACCAGTACCACAACCTGCGCTATCCACCAGGCTATTTTCCACGTGATAACCTGCGCATGAAGAACGATCCACTGGATTGGTAAGTCCACGTGCTGTTTCTAGTGAAGCCACGTGGAGAAATTACGCACTGCACAGACTCGCACATGTGCAAACATGTATGCGCACGCATGTGCATACACACAGACACACACACACACATACACACAGACAGACAGACACACACACACACATACACACAGACACACATACACACAGACACATACACACACACACATACACACACACACATACACACACACACATACACACACACACATACACACATACACACACACATACACACACACACATACACACACACACACACATACACACAGACACACACACACACATACACACACACACAGTTTTTTCAGTCCATCTGCAGAAAGGAAAGGCACCATGAAGGGGGTACCTATCTGCAGTCGCCACATAACTTTAAGGAGCATCATTAGGAATTTATTCCCCAGTCTTAAAATTAAAAACTTCATTTAGATATTCACCAAATTAATACAGAAATGGTGTTCTATACAGTGCCATATATTCCAGGAATGGGGATCACATCCACACCAACTTCAGAGACATGTATACACACCTGAGGAACAGTGGGTACTATGTGGAGGTGCTGGGCTCTCCCTTCACTTGCTTTGATGCCTCACAGTATGGTGAGTAGATGGTAGAATACAGGGTAACTGCCTTTATCTTACACAGTGGTACTACAGAAATGATATGGTCATAAAACAGGGGTGACATTTTCCGACTATCAGCAGATTTCCGCCTTTTTTGGAGCCAAAAAGTATCTTTCCTGATAAAATTGTTAGAAATTAGCATTTCATATTTAAGCCTAGTAGTGAAATTATAAGTGGAACCTTACTGATAGTGACTGGTAGTCTATCAGAGGATTTAAATTACTGCAGACTTTAAGCTGCACCCCATGTATTCAGTTATGAAATGACCCCAGCTCATTGCAGTGTCACAACACAGGATAGCTGTAACTTGTTAAATGGGGTGTCCTAGCACCACAGAAGTGGTAACTGCCTTGTGAGTCTCCTGGTTGAATGCTCAAATAGATTTAAAGAACTTTTGTTTGCTTTGAAAGTCACAGATATTTTGTTGTCAGCTGACCAACCAACACAACTGCTGTCAACTCTCTCTCTCTCTTATATTAGATAACATGATGTGTTTTTGCCTCACTCCAGGTACCCTGCTGATAGTGGATGCTGAAGAGGAGTATTTCCCTGGAGAAGTGACCAAGCTGAAGCAGGACATTGACAACGGCCTGTCACTGATCATATTTGCAGACTGGTACAATATCTCCGTCATGAAGAAAGTCAAGTTTTATGATGAAAACACAAGGTGAGGACTACACTTATGTGCATAGGGATAAACATATAAGTATTTACTTTCTTTATTGGAGAATGATGGTGTATGAATAACTGTTTTTTATCAAGAGTGACAGTTTAACCCCTTGTGGGTTGATTGACCCATTCTGAATACCAGACTCTGATATCAACCAGGAAATTAGAAATTATATGAGGGAACTTGAAGAAAATTCATTGTATATTGATGAGAATATGAGAAACAATAAATGTTATATATTTTATAGACAATGGTGGATGCCAGACACAGGGGGTGCCAATATCCCTGCCATCAATGACCTGTTGTCCCCCCTGGGGATGGCCTTCAGTGACGAGGTCTATGAGGGAGAGTTTACACTGGGAGAACACGAAAGTAAGAATCCTTAAAATACTTACTCAATATAAATATGCTGGCATCGTTTTCCCTACAGTCATGCTTAGGAAAGATGATTCTTCAATTAAAAAATATATATATATTAAATAAAAGTAGTTATCAGTGAAAGGTACGTGTGAACTGACATCACAGTATGTCATTACCAATAACTGACTGAATTACCTCCATTTACTACAAGTAGTCTGTATATTAATATGTAAAAGAAAATATAGCATGGACACATATGAGTAGGTTTTCCCTGTTATTTCAGTGTACTATGCCTCGGGGACCAGCATTGCCAAGTTTCCTGAGGACGGCTTGTTGATCACACAGTCACTGAAGGATCAAGGTAAAGCTCCATGGAATATTCTATAGAGTTAAGGTACATTCACATTGAAACTGTTACACTAGGTAGTTTGAACTAACTCCTCAGGGTCCCTTCCTGAATGGAATAGGATTAACAGATTAACACGCCTCCTTTTGTTTCCAACGTACTCCTATAATCAGCAGCTTTTGTGTATTCTACTCCAAACCAGGAGAAGGCGTGTTAATGTGATTGCATTCAGTCTTTTTGAGAGAGAGAGAGAGAGAGAGAGAGAGAGAGAGAGAGAGATGCAAGATCGTGAG